TGTCATATTCAACCGCTCTGTAAAACTGCAGCCTGTAGGTGATTCATCATTTCAGTTCATCTCAGAATTTCGCATTTTGATGCTAGGAAGTGCTAGTCAACTGCATTGACGAAGGGACGGTTTCTCATAGCTCTAGGATTGACTCTGTATATTATGAGCAACTGAACAACCATTCTGGGACTTAGCGAGTACAGTTTAGGAAATGAACGACGAAAGCAAAAGGCATTCAATTCATTAGTACCATAATTACAAATGTCTAAAAACGTACAATGAAAAAACATTACATATCACTGACAAATGAGATCCATTGTCGAATAAAATTGAAACACGCTTAGCAAAAAGCGAGACGTAAAGTCAGAAGTCAAAGGATCGACGATAGCGGTGAGTGAACTGCAGCGCCACGCGAAGAACGGTGATGTCATTATTGGAAGCCTGTCGTAAACGATCATGCTGGCCATCGCAGAGCTGAATAAAAGACGGTCATCGATCGTCGGTCAATCAGCAAACGGCGTCTTGGAAGCATTGAAACTCTTGTTCAGTCGGGGTCTTTCTTCACTGGGTGGAGGCGTGGGAAAACAGTAGCCAAATGAAGGACTAACGACCAACACTGGACTGGTATGACTCTGTCGCGCCATTTCCTGCTGTAGCATCTGCGATCGGTCCTGAAACTGATACTTCAGTACCTGAACTCCAGTGGGAAATCAGAAGGCGCAAAGCACTTACCAGCAAGGTTAGGTCGAAGTTATGGATCTGAATATTGTGTACATCGTCAACAGGGACGTCATTGAAATATTTCGGACTCGAAACGGCAAACTCATTGATCACTTGTGCGAAAGGCGCCATCCATTGATAGCACTCCGCGATATCGGCCCAAGTAAAACCTGCAATATTCATATTTCACTACGTACTGTAAGCAAGTCAACAAAATTTCAACACACTGAAGACGCACATCAAATACCACGTAGCTGAAAGCATGAAATCTAACGGGAAGAATCGAAGGAGGGTTTGAACCAAGAAGCAAATAAAAGAGATGGAAAACAAACAATTATTTTGGGGATGCAAATAAGTTTTCGAATGTCAATCATATGAGTTGTGAGAGACTGACGGAAATCGTCGCGCTCATTCAGCACTTAACGACGGAACGTTCGTTCCGAACGAACAGGTTTCCATCGAAACCAGTCGTATCGATTATTCAGTTATGACACTAGTGTCGAAAGCTGTTCACCTATT